GTTCAGCGGGGCCATAGAGGCAGCTGCATCTGCCTAACAGGAAAGCTGGTTCAAATTCCACTTGAAATATTAAACTATCCAAACCATAGGGTTCATAGGTACACTACAACAAGCCATTCTACTACATCCCATAATACTTTGAACTACACTACAGTTGCTTGGTATAACATGTTAATAAAACAAGTAGACCTTAAGCTCCAGACAGCACAGAAGCTATAAGATAACCTCAACATAGAGCACTAATAGGGAGTAAAGCCCCAACAAAACTACCCCTCCGTAAGGAATCAGCAGGGTGGGTTTTGCTATCCAGGTTGCAGACATGACACAACCTCCCAAGACATGTGCTCTGGTCAGAGCCAGGCAAGTAAAAACAACTTCTCAGGAAGATCTTCAATCACACACAACAAGAGAAAGGAAATTCAGAATCACGGTGTCTTTGATTCTTTAACTTCCCTCATGATAATTTACAACTAGGCATAAATGATCACAAGATTAATATCAGCAGTACTATCTCCAAGCATTCAATCTCAGTATCACAGGACAAAACACTAACTGGCATTCTGATTTCACTCTAGTGTGTAGGACATCTGGCAGGATTCCTTCTCTTGCAAGTTAAAAGCTCACTGGTAGCATGTCATCTGTAAAGTCCAGATGGAAATCAGTTTGCTATCAGCAGTTCTTAAGTGCTTATTTAGAATCCCTGAAATAGCACCCTGTGTTGAATAAACCAATTACCGAATGCTTGGAAGCTCCATTAGAAAGCCACAAAGTCCAAAGCCATCACATTAATCCACAAAGTGCTGCCTCTGCATATCCCATCTTCACAGGCAACAAGTTTTGCACACTATTATTTGCTCAGTACTATTCAAAACAATCTCAGTACCTTCAAAGGAAATGCACTCCTTTTCCCAACTTCTTCACCTACAAAGCACTCTCGTTTCTTCAGGATTTCTCACCTTTGTTTTAAACCTCAGACTCCAAGTTAGAAAACCACATGGATTTTTATCATAGTTTCATTTTGAGCTTGACTTGTCAAGCTTAGAAAACAGGGATTTGAGCTTTTGGGAGTCCAGGTGTCCAGTTGGTTGGCAAGACTTTGGCACTGAAAAGATTTTGTTACAGAACTCTGTGAAATTAAGTAAAATTCAGGCAAACCATCATCCAAACTGAAATTCCATGAACATAAATTATATTTTCACTTCAATAAAAGATAGAGGGAGCAAATCAGTATTTAAGGATTCAACATCTGCCTGCTCTGCTAATAAAATAAGGTAGCCTTGGCCAAGCACGTTGCTGTCTGTGTGACAGCACAGAGAATAATCTAAGACAAAAGAAAAAGCAGGTTTCCTTCACCCCTGCTGTGTGTCCCAGGCCAACTACCATTCAACTTTCCACTTGGGTGGCCTCTCACTCCTAAACCTTCTGTAAACCCATCAATACAAAGGTATTGTTCTTCATTCCCTTTCAAAACCCAATACTTCTGCAGGCTTTTTTAGCTGCTTGAGCAACTTTTTCTACAGCATCCACTTTCCTTCCCCTTCTGTGGCAAGGGCCAGCACAAGCGGAGAGGGAAGAACACGGAAGAACTAAAGTGGGTTTTGCTTCTGAAGTAGGAATGCAACAGGTAATTAATGTAACAAACATCCCACACTTTTTGCTGCAAATGCCTCGTCCTTCCACTCTAGTTACTTTATTCAACATCCAAAATGAAGAATCTCTCCAGGAAGACATGGTGAAGCCCAGAGATGTATTTTTAGAAACTAAGGAAAACAAGCTGGTGTCAAGGAGTGCCACAGAAGAACAAACAACAAGGAAACTGGAGTAATCCCATATCAATGATCCCCTAGTTATTAAAAAAATAATTCAATAGTTTCTTAGCTGTTCTGCAATGACTATTTGAAAGATCTGGAGGCAAAGAAAAAAAAAAGCAGCAGCTTAAGAAGGGAAAAAACTTCTGTTGTCTAAAGTCTGCCTGAAATGTAGAGCATGGAGCCTTAAGTGTCAAAAAGTCTCTAAATGTTAAGAATGCTGAACCAAGAAAACTTACTTACAAGGTAAGTGTTTATAGACTACTACGTTAATAGTAATTAGTTTGAAAAACAGGAAAAAAACCTTAATGATACTCCTCTAATTTCAGACAATAACAGAAACTAGTCTTGGAAGCGAAATTAACATCAATAAACAAACTAATTCACTCAGAACACAACCCACCACAAAGTAACTAAGTATAAAAATCTTTATGGTATAAAACACTAAAACCATCAGGGATTAACACACAGCGATAAAAAGGAACAAGCAGTTTCTGGGAGTGTTTTGTTGTTTGGCTGGTTTTTTGAACTCAGGACTAAATAAGTATCTGCCTGGAAAAAAGTCATCTTATAAAAGCTTGTAAACCTATCACTGTTTGAAGTTGTCCATTCGTAACAGGTACATCAAGAAAACCAGCACACACCTCAGTTTATTTCCTTTTTTCTCTCCTCCAGCAGTACAAAATAACAAGACTTGGTGCCAATACAAAGCTGAGACAAAACTGTGACTATAAAAAGAAAGCTACTATATACATAAATAAGACTGCAGTTGTGATATTATTTACTACAACTTTAGAAACCCAAATTGTACCAGCAAGAACCCAATCCACTTCCCACGTCTGCCTAAAGCTCACAATTTGCTGCACACCCCAAATGGGAAGGAACCAACCAACCAACCCGCTAACTAATGCGGCAGTACTAGACCTACATCAAGCAACAATATTTAATAATCTCAATCTGTAGGTTACTGCCCTCAGTAATTTAGGAACATAGTAACTCATGACCACAGCTCTGCAGGTTTTTGCATCCCATCCCACTTTATTCATGCAAACGGGACTTCTGACTTCAATTGCAGTAGTCACGTTTTAAATTAAGCATACACACCAGAGTTCGTAAGACCTGTGTCAGAAAAAAACCAAAAAGGAATACTAAAATACAGTTTTACCCTGAGGATGTGAGGGCTGCTTCAGAACTCCAGAGGGTACAGAACTACTCTGGTTGGTTTCACATGCTCTTACCTATACTACCAGAAGCCCTAGGTTAACAGAACACAGGGAAAAAGGGGCCACTTATTCCCCAGTGGCGCAAACGAACACTTCCAAGGGTGAGCCCTCACCATCACCCTCTGAACACCACAGGCTGCGTGGCCAGTGCACTTCTTCCTCCTCATTCCCTTCCAGACACTCGAGGGCTAAGATCTACCAGTAGAAAGACACCCTGTCTAACTGCCACCATGACTGGTTGTGCTTGGCACCAAAACAGGGCCTCCGAGAGGCCGAAATCCCGGAGGGAAGCAAGGCTTGAGCTCTCCCCTGACAACCCCTGCTGCTGGCCGCCTCCTGCCCCGCTCACGCCTGGGTACACCGCAAAGGCCTCGCACCACGAGGCAACAGCAAGCTTCCTTCTTACCCCTGCCCAACCGTCCCCCC